AACTGAAAAACCAACAAAAAATCAGGCCAAATACATCCACAAACAGCCCCCAAAATCTGCACATAAAATAGCAAGGAAAGCCACGGGAAGCACAGCCAATTAAGGGGAAGAGGAAGGCAAAAAGACACCACAAACAGCCCCCAAAAACTACACAGAAAACAGGGCAAAACAGCACCCAAAATCTGCACAGAAAACAACAAGGAAAGCCACGCCAGCAAGGGACCCGAGGAGCCAGCACAAGAAACAGGACAGCGCAGTCACGGGAAAGCAGCCACAACCTTTATTCACATGGAAGAAACCAAAGAGACACAAGAAGGGAAGAGGTAGCATGGGGAGGAAATCAAAGAGTCAAAGGAAAAGAAATATGCAAGAAATCACTCCACATAATGAGCTTTCGAGTGCAATAACTCCTCATATTAATGAGCTATCATTAGATCAAGCATTAATGAGCTAAAAACTAAGTAGTTCCCAAAAATTCAGTCATAAATCAAAGCAGCCAAGGTCCATTCCGAGAATAACAAGCAGCCCAAAGACTTAAGATGTTAAGACCCCTCCTTGCCTACATCAGATAGGCAATAAAAAGTCATATTATATAACAACAAGAATCTCTAGAATAAATTTCATTTAAACAAAAAATATGCTATTACAGGAGATCTCAATGAGCATTGAGTATGTCTATTAATTAAGTATTAACCATAATATTATAAAAGGACACATTAAAAATATTTCTTTAATAAGCATCACAATTATCAAAAGATGTGATGGCTTGGAGATCATAGAACAACAATCTTAGAAGTTATATGCAACAAAGGTCTTTAATTTATACATATTGTAATGAATCTTGACGTAACAATTTAAGGTCGGCTAAATACCATCATAAAACTAGCACAATTTTGACACCCAACAATTAAAATATTCATTTTCAACATCCTACTGTTGAATGCTCTCTATTTCTCACACTTCAGTGCATAAAATTTCTGGCACACAAGCATAGACATTGAACATTCTTTGCCACAATTAGTATGAGAATCATTTCATGCACAAGAAATTGAATTGGTCATTTCGTTCAGCAACACCATTGGAAGATAATATGAGCGTATGTTAGTGATGATGAACATGTTGCAAGGCTTCATAGTTACTATGATTGTTTGGATAAGAGATAATGACCAAAATAGTCCCCGGACTCTTTATAAATGACCAAAATGATCCTCAGGCTCTTTATAAATCCCTTTTTAGCCCATTGATTTTTTAAATAGTGCATAAGTGATCTCATGGAAAAATTATTTTGATCCCTATTTAAAGAGTCTAGAAACCAAAGTGGTGTTTTTATATAGTCGGGGACTATTTTGATCCTTCATAAAGAGTTAAGAGATCGATTCGATCCTTTTCTCGTTGTATAAGTTACCATTCTATGCCCTAAAATTTGATATTCTAAGTTTTAGCATACAAATATCTTGGCATCAAGCATCATATCTAGAAGAAATATTTTTTTTTAACAGAAAATTTAAAAAATCCTCCTTAAATTGTTAGTACAATTACATTTATACTATTACTGCGATGAGTTTTATGTTTGCTTTACTTCTTAAATCATCCTATAGTATGCCAGGAAATCTCATTCCAATTGCAGTTTAACGCAATTTTTCAAGCTGGAGCTTGCTCAGCTAGTAACCATGCTCAAGAAAATCAAAATAAAAAAGTGAAGCCATTGTCCACTCTAATGCACTTATATAATTTTGATTTCTCCTTGTCTATTTGAGCATTCACAACTAATGTGTGATGCAAAGCAGGAAAGCAAAAAGGAAAATAATGGTAGACTTAATACTTTGATTGTTGAGAGGAGAAAAAAACCGATGTAAAAGAAGAATTGGGGCGCAATATAAAGGCGTTCAAAAAGAAAAAAAAATGCCTCAAAGGAAGGTAGTTAGCATATAGATAGAAAGAAACCACTAAGCCCTGTAATTAGAAGGGAGCAAAATAATAAGGAGAAATAATGGGAGAGTCAAATTCATTTTTTAATACATTAATATATTCTCCCCAATTACAACCTAAAACCTACTACAGTAATTAGGGAGCACTTCTACATAAAAGCATTATGACAAAGTTACAACATTTCACTTAATCAAAAAGAGCAGAGAAATGCAGAGTGCACACTTTGTCGCCAAGATGAGGATGCTTAAGTGGATAAGTGGCTTTACACTTAGAGACAGAATGTGAAACGAGCATAAACTTGAAAAGGCTGGAGTAGCTCCAGTGGCAGATAAGATTAGCTGAATTGTCTTAAATGGGTTGGTCTCATAAAACTTAGGTCTTCCGATGACCCTATTAAGAGAATATATATATTAGATCTTGCTTATATTAAGAAAGGTAGAAGTAGACCTAAAAAGACTTGGTTAGAAAGTATTAAAAATGATATTTTTTTTAATTAAATTCAAATGACGATTTGACTCTTAATAGGACACAATTGAGAAAAATTATTGTAATTGACCCCACATAGTAAGATAAAGGGTTGTTGTTGTTGTACACTTTGTTGCTCTCTCACAAGTAAGAAGAATCATGTTTTTTTTTTCCTTCTTTTTTTTTTTATGAGTTAATAGGTATTCATCTTGGGTATTTGATCATTTTTACAATATTTCTAAGAATTTAAGAGCTTTATCTCCATCCTATATTAATACTTTCCTCCAAAATTTATTGCTATTTAGTATTTACTAGAGCTTCCATTTTTGGTATTGATTGAGTTCCTCCATGATAAATCTCTCTTCATTGATGAATGTCCCTTTCATAAAATCAAAGCTCTTTTCATCTGATTGTCTACCCTGTATTCTCAATTTTGTTGAGATAGTATCATAGTAGGTACAGTGGTAGTGTGATGTCGTTGGTGCCCACTGCATGATCTTCTGGTGCCATGTATGCATTTCCTATTATCATGTCAAGGAGAGAAGCTATGATGAAGATGATGGAGTCAAAAAATGTGAACTTTGCTTGATTTTTTTGTCTTATATGTTTTTTGCCTTTTCCTTCATTATCAAAAGGCTTGATACACGATGATCACCAAGGAACAAGTGAAAAGTGTGAAATGCACGAGATTATTTCATGACACTTTCAATTCATAATGTATTGTGGTTTCTCATCTCCTTTCGTGGCTCAATTCAATGTATATTATTATGTGCAATTGTGTTAAGCCACTAGCTATTGTTGCATTTTAGCATATGATGCTAAATAAAGAAAAATATTAAAGAAGTGCATGGCCATGCAATTAGTGTTGATTGATGTATTTGAGCATAATTTGCTCCTATTTATAATGATATGGTTATCAACAATGAAAGAAGCTTGAAATTTTAAGTTCTTTTGGCATTTTCATTCCACTCATACCCAACTATAATGCTCATTCGTTGGATTTGTGCTTATTGCTATATGCAGTGCATCTCTATTCACATATGTTTTTTTATGTTATTTAATTTTTAAAATATTCATATGCGATGATTAATCTTTTGGTAACATCAGATATCTTTCTTTTTTCTTTTTTTATCTATCATTACATTTGTATTGCCAAAAACAAGGCTAATTTCTTGAAAAATTCTATAATTAAATAGTTTCAGGGTATAATAAGTATTTTTAGAACAGATTAACATGTGGATGGGGACATCAAATTTGGTACGCACTTCCATAATTCTGTTTTAATTTAAATTTAAATTTAAAACGCATTTCATGAAATATCTATTTTCTATTAATATTTCCCTTATTGTTTAATTTATTCAAAATTATTTCTTTATGCTGTTATGAAATGGGCATGACAAACACAATATTTCTAGAAAATATAAACAAGTGAAAAGCATTTTAATTAACAAAACCCTTCAATAATAGCCCTTGGCATTGCATCACACTTCATTTTTTGGAAACGCTCGACTGCTATATGGAATGGTAAACTTAAATTTATGGGCATTCAAATTCTGCTAACATTAAGATAATGTATGTACAAAATGATGAATGACCATTTTACACTAATTGACAAAATGACAAATAAGAATAAATAATATAAAATAACTTACAAAAATGATTATATTGATGCAAGTAATATTAAATCTAGACAACTAAAAGAAATCATCTAGCATTACATCAATTCCCCTAGTGCTCAAAGAAATCAACTGCAATGAGCTGCAACTCTGTTAGATGAAAAAATTCAAACTCTCTATCACGCTATTAATCTAGCAAAAACGATCCGTAGGAAATTCATCCAGACAAAGAGAGATGAATGGGAAAATCCATCTTCAACAAAAGTGATAGACAAAAAATCCATCTGGAGGAAGAATATAAGTAGGGTAAAAATAATAACATTAGCAATAATGTTGATCATCGTGAATATTATCATTAGCTATAATTAGACATCTTTAAAAATAGGAACGTCTTCATGCTTAATATTTGGCATAGAATACATTAAGCTTGTTTGGTTGGGATTAGTTCTACTTTGTTTTTCTTATAAATCAGAAATAGGAAGAGTAGAACACGAGCAATGCCAATCTCTTTGGGTTGGAAATGCTGCTTCTCTACTATTGCTACCAATCTAAAAAGGAACCCCCACTCTGAGCACTCAAGGAACTGATATGACAAATAATAAATGAGTCAAGTATCTACCTAATCGAGCCAAGCTTAAAACTCTTGCTAAGCTCGAGCTTGGCTCATTTACTCGAGCTCGTTAAGAAAGCTCGAGCTTGACTCGAGAAATAATTAAAAATATTTAATATATATTTTATTATATTATTTAAAATTATTTTAATTTAAATGAGCGGTCGACAAGCATACGAGTCGAGCCTAGCTGAGCTCGAGCTCGAACTCGTGAGCTCGTTAACGAGACGACTCACGAGGCGGCTCGACTTATTTACACTCCAATCACGACCCTCAATTTATGATAGCATTTCAACTTAATTCAGCTCATCCCTGATAAAAGCATAAATTAAAATTGCAAGAAGCTTAACTGCATCAGTAAAACAGAATAAAAGGCGTACCTTGTTTCGATGACGATCTAAATAGCTTACATATTCCAAAGGCACACGAGAACCTCTTGACAATTTAGCAAGAACTTCGATTAGATCTTCTAATTTTGATATTGCTTCTCCAGCAAACTTCTTTATAATAGAATGGCGAGGGACACCAGCACGAGAGAGCATATACCTGAAGTTCAACTATTGATAATAAGCTCATCAAAGCATAGCAAGATAAGTTCAAAAGTCAAACCATATTGACAGACATTGATGCAAGCAAGTTGATGACAAGGTAACAAATATTAAAAAAATAAAGGAAATACTTACAAAGGTGATCAATTATATATTTGTAACAGTAAGCATACTTATGCACTACAGCTTTAGCCTTCTTCAAACAAGGCAAGGCATCACATTTTGTATCTTAATTTTCTGAGTGAATAATTTCGAAAGGATAAGCCCTCAGAGTTCCTTGGTAATGCTACTTAGGCAACAGGTGCAGTGAACAAGTGAATCTTTTTTCATGTAATTCCCAATTAAACCTTTTTGCTTGTTCTTCCTTCTGCTAGACATATCGTTCAGCTTTATGTTAAACAATGCTAACCTATCATCCCTTTGCTTCAATCTTGCTGGTCTTTCACAATAACCTTTTTCCTGGTATTTTTGTCTTGGCATTTAAAATTCTTTATCACTTCTCTTAAAAATTTTAAGTTCTATCATTGGTTGTATAGCTAGTAATTTTACACTATTACTCTACATTATTGCTATCACATTATTTATCTTACTTGTTCTGTCTTGTTCATAGATAAATAAATGAGCTATTATTCTTATTAATTTAATATAAATCAAGAACTAGTATTTATATGAAACTTTCTTTTTGTAATTGTTAATAAGTGCTATCTCAAAGAAGAAATTTAAAATGAATCTTAAAACAATCATTAAAGATTTCCTATTACGTTGAACAGATATTTTGGATGCCAATGTATTAAGTTATGCAAAGCATGACTAATTAAGATTCTTTTGATAACTTCAGTGGAAAATTAATACAGCATAGAAAAAGAAAAGTTCCTCAACTCTTGTCTTCGACCTTAGGCATTTATGGCACTAGTGCCTTAATGGCCAAATTAAAACATAAATTTAAATAAATGAATAAAGATAATTATATGCATCAAAAAAGTTAAAAAGATATTAATCTGAGAAGGATATAAAAAAGTTATAAGAAAGGGAAAAGAGTAAATGACTATTAAGCCAGATTAACAGGAACATAACCGAGTTAAAATGGCAAAGGATATGTCAAATAAATGCCTCATTCGTATACAAAACTGTTAAATTTAGAGAATTGGAGAGGGAAAATGATGCGGACATCGGTACAAAGATTTGGCGCATCTATCACAGGAGACGTCGCAAATTGACGGCCATGATTTAAACCTTCAATTATGATTTATTTTTCTACATTTTAGTTCTTAATTAATGTATTTTCCTGTTGTACCCCTAGGATAGTTTATAAGAGTGTTATGGCCCAAGGGGCAATTTTGTAATTTTTATTTTATCATGTTATGGCCTATATATAGGGCCTTAAGCTATTGTAAAATGATGGTTAATTTGATATGAAAAATTTGGTGTTTTCCACTTTTGTGTTCTTCTTGGGAGAGAACGAGAGTGAGATTCCTATGAGAAGGAATCGAAGATGTCACCAGCCGCAGGATGGGTCCGGGCTCGTGATTTGAAGTCCCTTGGAGAAGGGCAACGGATCACCCGTCAGTCTTCGTGTCGATCGTGGCTTGGAGGCGAGAGCAGAGGGGTCGGTCGTGAGAGAGCGGAGAGCGGGAGTTGGATCGGAAGTGGTGAGGAGAGGCAGCGACTGAAGTCCCCATCAGTTGCGGTATTTAACGACGCACCTGGGCTCAAGGTCGAGGAGAGGTCGCAGGATTTGAGCAGGAATCGCGGAATGCGACTCAAACGGCGCTGCACAGCGGGATTTCGGCCGGTTTCGTGGATACGAGGTTTGATCTATTTTTTTTTTTTTTTTTTTTTTTTGTGCTTTACACAGAGGTCAACAATAATGCATAATTGTCCTAATATAATCCTTCCTAAGTCAGCCACCCAAATATGTAAGGAGATTGGCGTGATCCAGGAGAGCCTCCCATAGATCCTCTTGCTGGCCATATGATCAAGAGCCAAGGGACGGCTGGGATGATATTTGACAAAAAATACACAAGATATCCACATAGTAACATGAAAATATTGAAAATTTGACATAACAAAAAGCAGGTCTCCATGGTGCTAGTGTCCAAGTGATCTAAATGGCATCAAACACAAACATTGCTTTATCATAAGCCACAAACAATAACATAATGTACATTTCAAGAAATAAAAACAAAATGTAAAAATTACGATTTCCACAAATTTAAAATCAAAAGCAACATCATATAATTTGAAAAGAAATGAAAGATACATCATAATCTGTAGCATTATCACAACTATGTTGGCACAGCGTTATGAATACATTTTTTCCATTCACTCTTGTAAAGTGTTGGATGTTGTTAACTCTTCAAAATTTTTTTGTACTTCGCTAAATGTTTTTGTTTTTTCAGTTACACCTGCTTCTTAAAAGGCAAAACAATTATGTGTTTTCAATTAGATGTACTCACCCTGGCTCCGCTACATATACCAGTCCACAGTTGAAGCGAAAATTCCGCGCCTGCATATAGGGAAATAAAAATTACCCCACCACATAGTTTCCAAAGAGCATGGAGATTGAAATATACTCCCAACAAATAAATATTGAACCATTTCTATAAAGTTCAGCAATTTGAAATGCTAGCATAAACACTAAAGCTACTGGAAGCTATGGACTTTGGATGGCACCTATTGATTACCATGCAACCTAAAATTATCCAATCTCTTCATTTTTGCATAATCTAAACATCCACAATGGCTTTAAACAACTAACATAACTGCAACTCATAAATTTCATGCTCCGTTATTACAAAAATAAAGGATACATGTTTCAAGTTCCATCTTTTTTAAAACGTAACCAAATAAATACTATTGCTAATTCAAAAGAATCTACTTTGTTGGATACGATGAAAAGACCAACCTCCAATACGGATGGGCTGATATTGTGTAAAAGACATTTTCATTGCATATGCCAAAACCAAAAAATCACAGCAATAGCGTTAACTAGGTCCAAGTAAAACTCTGAAAGAAGTGCCATTTTAATAATACATACAGTGATATATATTATACCTGCTGATAGGAAAGGGGGTGCAACACAGCGCCACTAACTTCCAAGAAATAATTTGGAGTTATGGAATGCAAATCCTCAACCTGAAGTAAAATAAGTCAGAGTGCAACAACTAAACATGCACATTTAGGAAAAAAAAAGTTCATAGCTTCTTGCTTCATAAACTTAAACCTCTTATTTCCTTCATATCAAATAGGATTGTCAAAAAAATCATTGTTTACAAACATCTTGTATTCAACACAAATATTGGTCTTGCTCGGCTCATCCGATAAGTAACAGAGCCAAACTTGAACAAGTTTTTTCAGCTTACAAAACATTAAAACAAAAGTATTTTCAGCTCATTTATTAAGTGAATGAACATCAAAGACTTTATCCCACTATGTGGGGTCAGCTAAATCAATCATTTTTCTCCATTATGTTCAAATAAATAGAAATAAACATATTTATCAATATTTATTTATATACGTAAAGGTTTAATTTACTAATGTAATTCACTATTAAAAACTGTTATATACACTTTAAACATCATGGACAATACATGTTTTATTATGTAATTTTTAAAAAATTGTGTAACATAAAAATTACAAACTTTCACATATAATTGAAGTCATCAATAAAAAAATTATCAATGCATTTCACAGTTATCGAATTGTCGTTCATATTCATCCCAATAATAAACGGAATTATTCAGCTTGTTAGCAAACTTGAGCGTATTTGTGTCCGGCTTAGTAATTATTTAACCGAGGTGTACAAGAGTTTCAGCTCATTCATGCTACGCTCGTTTACATTGCTAATGACCAAAAGAAGAATATGCAAAAGCTCATTAATTATAATAGGAGAAACCTTGAGTTTACCATTAATTTTACTATCAAGGAGATTCCACCCCTTTCAATCTGCAACTCGATCTCACCATTGATGGAATCATCAAGTAATGTCTCCAGTTTAAGAAATTGTGTAACTACCTGTGCTAAGACAAACGCTAAGACAAATCAATTCACAAAAGCAGAATATGTTCCAACTATTATAATAAGCATAAAAACAGCTCACAAGAGATGCTTCAAAAATAATAAGATATGAAAATATTCTCTAAGTGTTGTAAAAAGTACTATGAACTCTCAAAGCAATGTGGTTATCCAAAAGCCAAAGCACTAGATTGCTCCTCTGGGTGCTTGCTTGATGAAATCAAGAATTCTGTACTTTTTATTTTGTTTGAACATTAGTATATTCTGTTTTCTATTTTATTTTCTTTTCTTTTTTAGCTATCCAATGATGGGAAAGCATCCAATGATCATGGTAGGTAGTGCATATGGTTCTACTCCTTTGTCAGTTTTCTTTCTTGTGTGTTTTTTTTTTGTATTCAAGTGATATAGGCTCCCTATATCCCTTGTCTACATCATTACTCAAGCAGCGAAGAAAAACTATACTGTTTATAAACTAATTTTATGTATTATGATAATTTTTAAGAGTATAGACTACGAATACTATAACAACAACAACATCATCAAACCTATATTTCATTACGTGGGATCAGCTAGATGAATATTTTTCTCCATTATGTCCTATCAAGAGTATAGACTAAGAAACATCACATTAAAGTAGGAATGAGAAAATTAAGATTTTTCAAGATCCACTATATCAAGTTCAATATTCTCGTTAGGGATAATCTACCTTACTATTTCATCTTTGACATTATTCACACTCTTTTTCATTCGCAAAATTCTTATCCTCTATTTCCTCCAATTGATCCTCTTCATCCACACGAAATTCTTGACTAGGTTGTACAGATTATTTCCATGTGTAAATATTTATTTCGAATACTCTTAGTAATCATTTTGTATCATCTCTAATCAAATTATCATAATGAAAAACTATTCATTTACAGTATTATCACCATTTCTTCAATAAAGGTAAGGAAATTTCTTAGGCATGCCTTATTACACTTTTGCTGCTTGAAAGTGTATGACAATTGTCTTACCTTTCCCATCTACCTGAGCAGCTCCTAATTCAACTTTAACATCACAATTTATTGAAGTGGATATATACTCATAGTTATAGTAATTTAAAAAACTTTAAAGGACATTTCAATATTCACCAAAATAATTCTTTTTTATGATTTCACCCTGCGCTTTTTTTAATTATATAAACATTTTATGGGCTCTAAGTTATAAGACTGGATTAATGAATTAAGGTAACGGTAAATGGAGGTTCACCGTTATTTTTCTAGGTGATTTGAGGAATGGAAGAGAGTTTTCAAATGCACATTTTAGCAAAGAAATTCATCGTTATTTAATACAAGCTTCTAACTATAGAGGGTAACAGTGCGTGCCTATGGATAATATAGGGTATTGGAAGGGGTTCATGTGCTTATCCTTAACCTTGTATTTGCAAAAGAGGTTATTATTTTCATGACTCCAATTGCTAAATATACATTTATGAAATCACACACAACTTTTTTTTTCCAGTGAAATAAATGTGTGCTTGTGGGCTCTGAAAATTCGCGTCCCGGCCACTCCGCACCTCTTTATTAACGGGGAAGGGTGTTTTAACGGATTTAGGTTTAAGGGTAAATTTTTAGAAGACAGATTAGGTTTTTAGATAAGACACTATCCAGATATTTCGTCCTTATGTTGCAAGGACTTATGATTTGAGTTCTGGTTTCCGATAGACGCAAGCGCTTATGATTAATTACACCTCTTAATAATAAAAAAAAACTTTACATTAAGGCTAGTGGTTAAAATAGGTCACAATAATTACCTAACATATAATAGCAATAATTTTAGGGTTTGAATTTTAGAGTTTATGACTTGAAATCTATCTCCATATACTTAAAACGGGTGGATGGAGAAATGATAACGGGCCCGATCAAGATTCCATAATCCGTCGTCCTGGGCTATTATGGTCCATGGTCAAAGGAGATAGTCGACCCAACTTGACAGAAGGACCCTCATCAGCAACCATGGGTTGCCTCATCTAAGGGCACGGCATCTCTCTGTTAACTAATACTGGCTTAAATTCAACTCTTTAGACAAACATCCGCCCCGGGTCTATAAGGGAACATACGGGCTTTCCCATGATCGTAATATAGTAGTGCCATTTTGCGACAAATTCACCCAATTAGAAGGCACGTGTCACATCTATGCCGGCGAAAAATCAATCGAGAATGAATTGTAGTAGTACATTTCACAAAACATCTGCTCTTTGTGAGTTGAAGTTATTCTTCAATTCATCATCCTCAACAACCGTTGCATAGTATGGATGAATTTTGATTTTACATTTTTAGTGACGAAATTAGTTTTTATAAATTTAAACTTTTAAAAGAATTTGAATTTATGTTTTGAACGAATGATTTTAGAATTTTGTGCATTTTTAAAAAAATAGCTCTCCGATTAAGAGTTTGGTGCAAAAGATCGAAGCACATGCAGAATATATTTTAGCATATTTGCATAAATGAAATTGACACATTAATTAATGCTCCTGCACATCTACATACTGCATTTTGTACTACCAATACATGTATATAATATATTTGACATTTGCAATGCACTCGTGTGACCTATCGTATAATTGTAATATGTTTGAATTTAAAATTTGTTTGGTGGTATGTATAACTTGCTTGTGTAATCACTGTCGTTGTTTACCACAACCATTACAACTCTTATTGTCTGCCAAAGTTTTCTTTTTGTGCATTACCTAGATAGCCACTGAAGAACCTTTCATACATCCTCTTGCTGCCTTGTCCAAATTGGTTGTTTATTATGACTTCTACCTTTTTGGAGATATAACAGCATATCTTTCATTCTCCATTAAAAAAAAAAATCTCAATGACACTAAGTTCATCATCTTAATAAATTTTGTGACAAAAGGTATATTAGTGTCAACAATAGGAATCAATATGATATCTGATTTAGGTTCAAAAATAGTCTCATGTACAACCTTCAACAAGAGGTTCGATTAATAATAATTAATCTTTATCATTAAGTTCATTTACAGATCATGAATCATTACAATAATAATTCTTATAAAGCAACTCATCACAAAGACCATGTTTCTAAATTGATGGAGGCAACACTTATGCTTGATTTTTTTAAATTGATTAAGAGGCTGTTTGGTTGGAATACAATGTGGCATAAAGTATTCCAAATGCATTGGTTTTGAAAACTTTGGCGTTTCGTCGGAATACAAAGTGGAGAAAAGTAAATGTAGAGTAAATCATTTTAATTCATTTTTTAAGTAAATCAAACTCGCCCAATTTTTGTGTGAGAACTAACAATTCATGGACAATAATTTTCCATTTTTTATGCAGTTAATTCTAAATCCCCAACATTTAAGACCATATTCTAGATTTATTTCTTCTTAAATAGCTATTTCTCCACCCATTTATATATAGATTATTTTTCTAAACACAGAATAAGAGAACAAAATTAAATCATAAAACCGTCTCGGAAGGAGAGGGAGGAAACAGTCTCTTCAATTTCACCGGTAACTTGTTCTTCCCCTTCCTGGCCTTCAATGGTCTCTTCATCCTCTTTCGCCGCAGCTAGGTCCGACTCCGCGCACAAGCTCTAGCAGCTTAGCACCTCACGCTAGCGTTCTCCCAGTCGGGTTCATGGGTCGAGTCAGGTCAACCCGGTAACTCGGCAGATCAGGTCCAGGTTAAAATTTTTGACCCGTTTGTAAACCAGGTCAAGTTAGGGTCAACAGGTTTGGTTCCAAATCAATTTGGGTTAGACCCAAACCCGACCAGTTGACCCGTTTTGAGTGCCTAACAACTAGCCTCAATCACAAATTCTCTCACCATCAAGTGGGGTAATTAAGTATAAAGAATTGCACCTATGGGAAACTTGGAACCATATTACAAAGTCAACTTAAAATAAAGGCGAAATTGCTAGGTAATATCTTATCTCCAATCTGATAGGCTTTCTAAAAAATTGATGATGTAAAACCAGGAATTGAATTTAGAAATTTAACAAAATATTGTTCAAGTGATGAAATTGCAAATTTAATTTTGTTCTAAATTGAAACTTCTCGAAGATCTTAGAATTTGACTATGGTTAGGCAAGAACTTACACCTAAATTAGCAAGACCAAGAAAATAACAATTGTAATAAAAGTAAAGCAAATGAAAAGCCAAATAGAATCCCGCGGTTAACAAAGCGATTGTCTCACCTTGAGGCCGCTCTCATTTACCTACTTCTAGGCTTGTTGGGAGAAGAAGAACCACACGATTGATGAGACCACTCCTAGGGCGAGGGTGCCGTAGATCCGTAGGGAAGAAGAGGTCGGCGCGGGTCGCGGAGGTGGGGCAAAACGACGCCCTTCAACGATCCACGTGTAGACAGAAAAATGATCGTCGATGGACTCCACTAGAGCGGGTAGGATCCGGTCCAAATACTCCTCGACGGTGTCGTCGAAGTCGAATCCGACGTCGAAGAAGGGAGATCGGAGGATGTTCACTCGTCCGCGGTTGTCGTATTCAAACCCGAAATTCCACTCGGGAACCTCCATGCATCCTTGGAGAGGTGAAAGGGTGGTCACCGCAACTAAATCTCCAAGGAGGATAGATGGGGGGCGGCGGGTTGAAGGCTGGATGGGAGGCCGGCGGTGGATGTGGGGTGAGGGGGATATGGGTGCAGGAAACAATCACAAAGCTGAGAATAATTTCAGCTTAGGAGAATTTTGGAGGGGGAATTCGAATTCCAAAGAGGGGAGGAATTAATTCCTTAATGAAAATTAATGGGGGGAGAGGGATATGAGGCCGGCGGTGGGAGGAATAGATGGGGAAGGGATTAAACTGAAATTATTTCAGTTTTAGTCCACATGGGGGGAAAATTAATGACTCCTAATTTGAATTTCAAATTAGAATCATGGGAGTTAATGTAGTAATTAAGGGGGAATCCACCAAGGAGGGGCTGGCGGCAAGCATAGGGAGAGAGGGAGGGATTTAGGGAGATGGGGGAAGGGGA